CTGAATAACACCCTGCTTAAAAACCACTGGGTAACAGAAGAAATCAAAGATGGACTCAAAAAATTCCTAGAATCAAATGAGAATGAAAACACATCATACCAAAACCTTTGCGACACAGCAAAGGCAGGGCTCAGAGGTCAATTTATAGCAATAGATGCACACATCAAAAAAGAAAAAAGGGACAAATCCAGAACATTAGCTACACGACTTGAACAAATAGAAAGATTACAGCAAAAGAAGCCCACAGCCACCAGAAGAAAGGAAATAATAAAGATCAGAGCAGAAATAAATGAAATAGAGAATTAAAAACAATAGAAAGAATCAACAAAACCAAAAGCTGGTTCTTTGAAAGGATCAACAAAATCAACAAATCACTGGACACCACAAAAAGAGAAAATTACAGACCAATATCTTTCATGAATACAGACTCAAAAATTCTCAACAAACTTCTAGCCAATAGAATTCAGCATCATATAAAAAAATAATAATACTCCACAGCCAAGTGGGATTCTACCACGTATACAAGGATGGTTCAACATTAGAAAATCAATCAATGTAATCCACCACCTAAATAAAAGAATCACATGATCATCTTAATAACACAGAGAAGGCATTTCACAAAGTTCAGCACCCATTTCTGATAAAAAACTCTCAATAAAATAGGTATAGAAGGGAAATTTCTCAACATAATAAAGGACATCTATGAAAAACCAATGGCCAACATCATTCTTAATGGAGAGAGGCTGAAAGCATTCCCCTTGAGAACAGGAACAAGACAAGGATGCCCTTTATTACCACTCTTACTTAACATTGTGCTGGAAGTCCTAGCTAGAGCAATAAGGCAAGAAAAAGAAATAAAGGGCATCCAAATTGGTAATGAAGAAGTTAAACTGTCCCTATTTGTGGATGATATGATACTATACATAGAAAACCCAAAAGACTCCACAAGAAAACTACTGAAACTAATAGAAAGATTCAGCAGAGTAGCAGGATACAAGATTAACATACAAAAATCTGTTGGATTCCTATACGCCAATAGAGAATGATGAAAACAATACCATTTATAATAGCCCCTAAAAAAATAAAATATTTAGGAATAAATCTAACCAGGGATGTAA